AACACAATGACGGCAGACAATATGTACTAATTGGGAAGTAATTACCGAACGAGCATGCACTATCATGTGTGGGACATATAATGTGATATCAGGTTTATCCCAAGAATGATCTAGATAGTTCTAAGGTGGGTTGTAATATATATAGTTAAATTGTTGTAAATACTACTAACCCCGATTTAACTATAATAAAATTCACCGACCAAAGAGGTCATCTTAAAGGAAAAAAAAAAAAAAAATTTACATGTGACAAATCATGTAACTGTTATTATATATTAAAAACATTATTATCTTATTATAAACACTTTTACTAAAACACACCTATAGTGTTTTTACACCATAGGTCCCATTTCTCAAAAACGTACTAAGTAAATAGAATCGGGTTTTCTAAGTAAAAATGTTCAGGACTCCCAAAAACCTCATGAGAACTGAGATCGGGCCCTATCGGGCCCTTATATTAGCTTTATAATATATTATATAAAAAAATAATAATTTTTAATTTCCTAATCCTAACTCTAAATTTTATTAAAAGAAATTATACATACCGTATCCTGCCATGAATAAGCACCTACCTTTTGCAATTTTCATATCCAAGTTTCTTATGATCTAGTAATCGGATCTGTATAATTTTGGTACTGTTTGATTCAGCTTATCAAAACGATTCAAATGGTACCAAAATTATGCAGATCCGATCACTAGGCCACAAGAAACTTGGATATGAAAATTGCAAAAGGTGGGTGCTTATTCACAATAAGATACGGTAGGTGCTAAAACACCATAGATGCATTTTATAATAATTAATTATAAAAACATATATAATTTTTTTTAAGTTTCAGTAAAGTATATAGACAAATGGTTCATACTAAAAATTCTAACTACAATTGTGAAGCTTTATTTCGTGAAGTGAACAATAAGTAGAAAAAATACAAAAAAAATAAAGATATTCAAAAAATTATTGATGATTTTTATAATACACCAATTTCGCTACAAAAATTTCTCATTTTATATACAAGACACTTGGCTAATTCACAAGCAGATATACCTATTCAAACAGTTCAATTGCCAACTCAAGAGCAATCTGAAATGCCTTGTACAAATGCTCTTGCTCAAAAAGAAACTTACAACCAAATAAAAGAAACAGAAAAAAATTTTTAGAATTTACTTCTCTTTATAGTGCTACTAGCGATTTTTAACTTCGTCAGGACCTTCATGGATGTATCAAAAGTTTAAAAAATAACCTTGAAGAAAAAAAAAATAAATTAAATGAACTCAAACAGAATGCAAGTTATCAGCAGAAATACAGATTAAAAAAAAAAAAATTTAATAGAAAACAATGAAGTCATAGTATATAATCATGCTGGCCATCTCCCGGTACTTTTTAAATATTCTGATCTCCTTGAACATATTCTTGGTGAGGCCGATGCTAAAAGGAGAAAAGAAGTTATCAAAGTTTGATCAGTAGCACACTTACAAAAAGAGCTGGATAATAATTATAATGAATATTTATCTATGACCACACTTCGTAATTATATGTTACCAAATAATAGAAATTCAATTGCAGCCAGAGCACATCACCATCCTGTAATGGTAGGAATTGCTAATATTTTCAGAAGTAAAAAAAAAGAGCATATTGATTCCTATTATTGTTTAGCATCAATAAAGGCATCAAAATCATTCGCAAACACATTCTCTGATGTAATTGTAATAATATTACAAGACGATAAAGCTAAAGTTAATGTTGGTATACCTGCATATTTCAAACAGTACAATCACTTGTTGAGCCCGTAGAAGTAGAAGATCATGATTTCCCAATAGGGGCATCTTAGAAATTGGTTCCAAGTGTATATTTGATGATCAATCTGGCTGATTCAAATAATACAATGAGAGCAGAGCAACTTGCAATATATGTATGACCCCAGTGGTATCTTGGCACAAATTCTTCAACACACATGCAGGATTTGATCAATCTTGCATCAATAAGAGAGTATTATGAAGTCTTTAAAATTAATAACAATACCAAACCGATTTGGATGATACTAGTGGACAGAGGTCCTGACGAAAATCCAAGTTTTCTCAAAAATATATATCAGTATTGCCACCTATTCAAAAAATTTGAACTTGACTACCTTACTGTACATACCAATGCTCCAGGTCAATCTGTGTTTAATCCTGTCAAAAGAGCTATAGCCAGCTTGTCCACAAAACTAGGAGGAGTTTTCTTTTGTATAAATACATTTGGCAACTATCTTGACACCCAAAGAAAAGTTATAGCTAAGAAACTTGGGCTAAGAAACTTCTGGCATGCCAGTGAAGCTTTGTACACCATTTGGCGGCATGATAAAATTTTTTGTAGACCTGTCTATTGTGAATATATCGATGAATAGCCAATACCTTTTTTGGATGTTGTTTTTGAAAAAAATGCATATAATAGTGAGAAAATTAATAATGAAGACGAAAACCAAGTCAATAATAAAACAGATGAACCAGTTTTATGGGCTTGGATTGAAGAGCATACACAAATGTGTAAATATTCATTAGATGTAAAAAAATGTTCAAATCCAGTATGCTGTTTACAAAAAAGCTCTCGAAGTTATCTCTTTTCTTGAGCTGACAAATAGCTTTTTTTCATCAGTAATTCTAGGCAAAAACAACTATTTTTTAAACCCAATATACACAGTGCAGTATCTAGATTCAACAAAATCAATGAAATATAACAAGCATTGCCCATTGATCAGTACTGAACAATATAAACAACTCACATGCCAAATATGCAAAAAATACTTTTTTACTTATGTCTTTCTTAAAAATTACAGGCAATTTGCCCACCCAGGCTATTTTAGTAAAAAGTATGAATTTCAAAATGATTCAATAACTAAATATTAATTAAGAATCAGACTAATGGTTATCAATTACCATGTCTAAGTACACTAGGTGCAAATTCGTCCACACTACAAAGCCACCCTAATAACAATTTTCAAAGAATAACAAGTAAACAACAAGTAAATTCACTATTAATTTAATGGAGAATTGTAACGTATAGACTCTTAACTTATAGTTTGGCTTAATGTTTTAAACAGAGAACTAAAATATATACACCGTTTTCAAATAGTATATCCATAGTAGAATCCAATTCAATCAGTTGGCAAGATCAATCTTCAATGAGAGAATCGGAAGTAGTGGCCGTTTTAATTTAGACTTTCAAATTAGAATAAGTTTTACTTGGTAAAGCTTTTATTGGTACTTTTTCTTATATCCGAACAAGTAATATTTAGATTACCAGAAAATATTAATCGATCTATAAATATAGAATTTTTTATATTTTGTAATTGAAAATAAAAAACTTATCTTTAGAGTTTACTTTGTTTATATTTACTATAGTATCAAACACATAATTAGAGTTTATTTTTCATATAGTTAAAACTGTATTAGTTGGTTTGACATATGAAAAATAAACCGGTTCTAGTGTTTGGTTATGTAAATTATGTCTGTGACGCTGATTGGCTAATTAGGTGACTTGTGCTATATAAGATGCCATTGACCTCCCTCCTCCCTATACAATATTACATAATATCTGTGACTCCCCCTAATCAAAAAAAATTTTTTTAAGATTCAGTAAGAGAATTAGCATCTTCAGAAGGAGGATTTATATTTTGTATTAAGGCAGGTTCATTCGGATTAACTTGGAATAAGTTTGAAAGTTGCGAATTTTTGGTGTGTATATTGAATATATTTAAATAAGCAGGTGAATATATAGATGAATGAATTGAGGTTTTTTTGACAATAACAGTTGTTTGGGCAGATTTACCCTTTTTAGTAGAATATAATAAGGATACACTTGTTGGTAATTGTGTCCATTTTTGCTTCCTACTTTTCTTAGTAGAAGATGACTAGGCCCCAAATAATCTATAATAAGCTTATATTTGACTATTATAATAAATTTTTTTTTTGTTAGCACTTTTATATCAATATATATAATTTATATTTCAAATATTAGATATGAATTTTAGTTTTTGTTATCATTTTTTAAAATATAAAAGTGTTCTCTAAAAAAAAAAAACAAGTGTATTTTCTAAAAAAAAAAAAAAAAAAACAGAAATATGCTTACTAAAATAAAAAAAAAACAAAACTTACTTTATATTTTTTATTAATATATATATATATATATATTTTTTTTTTTATTAATATAATGTCATAGTAGAAACTTTATTACAATAAACCTATATTAATCTAGAGATTAATAGTCCTCCTGTTACTAAGAAGACTTGGGTAAGGGGGCAGATAAGTCACCTGACCAGGCTGCCAAATTCCTTCAACTCA